CAACCAACTAGCCAACCGACTAAATCAACTAGCCATCTAACCAACCAACCAACCAGCCAACCAACCAACCAACGGACCAGCCAGCCAGCCAGCCAGCCAACCAACCAACCAACCAACCAGCCATCCAACCAACGGACCAGCCAACCAGCCAACCAACCAACCAATTAACCAACCAACCAACCAGCCAGCCAACCTTGATTTTGGGATCAACACACTTCATTTTAACTAGGGTAGACATCTCTTCATAGTACAATCCCAACGCGTGTGGGCATTTAGAAGCAGTCTTCTGAATTAAGGACAAAATATCAGTACAGAGGTCAAACTTCTCATTCGAAAAACCTCCACCACCAGTGCCAACATCATCATTATTATTATTATTATTATTATTATTGTTGTTGTTATTATTATTGTTGTTGACGTAGTTGTTGAATGACGAAGGAATGACGTCACTGAATGACGAGCTGTTGTTGTGCATGTTGGGCTTTCTGCGAAACGGCATTTGGTTGAATTAGTTGTTGTTGTTGCATTTGTTGTTGTATTTGTTGTTGTATTTGTTGAATGAAAATTGCAATCTATGGCCTTTGAAAATGGCAAGTAATCAATCAGACACCCATCCATTTATTTAATCAACCATTCATTTACCAATTCTTTCATTCATTCATTTATTCATTCATTCATTCAATCAGTTAATCCTAATTAACCGATCAACCAACCATGATTAACTTGCTCTATTAAGAACCAATCAACTAAAACCTATCTAACCAATCATCCCATCAAAATAAACCTCGCTATATTTAGAACCATCATGACTCCTCCCACCACACCAAGCTGCTGATATCTAAATAAATAAATTTGAATAAATTATCTTGACTTTGAATAAATTTGAATAAATTAAGTTGGAATTAACTAAATTAAAAAAAAATATCTTTGAACGTTAGATGGAAACGATGATAATTATAATGGTTATGATGGTGATGATGGCGATTATGATGATGATGGCAGTGATGATGATGATGATGATTGCGGTCTTAGTATAGTAATAGTAATGATGCTGACGATGAGCATGATGATGATGATACCTCAACGATGATGATGATAGTTGCTTTCTTATGATCATATGCAAGCCATCCTTGAAAGTTTATTAATGAAAAACTTTAAATGCCTCGATCCCAATTAATTAATCAGTCAATTATTATCTAATTAGGTCATAGCCATTTAATTAGGTCGCAACCGATTAATCAGGTCACAATCAATTAATCAGGTCATCTCCATTCAATTAAGTCACAATCAAAAAATTATACCACAATCATTTAATTAGACTATCGTCATTTCATTAGATCAGGTCTTAGCAATTTAAATCACCAACATTTAACCGGAATATGATTATATAATTGGGTCATCATAATTATTTAATTGGGTCATCATAGTTGAGTAATTAGGTCACCACCTGTATTGATGCCGCTTGGTGATTGGTTGAGAAAGCCAACCTGCTCAACAGCTGGTACAATTTTCTTACCTGGACGAGGCTCAAGTTATCCAGGTAGTCGAGAATGCTCTAGAAGAATTGGGTCAAATGAAGGAATGAATGTATGAGTAAATTTAGAAACGAATGAAAGAATGTAGGAATGAATGTAAGAAGGAATGTAGAAATGAAAGAACGGAAACAGAAGCTAATGAATGAATGAGTGAATGAATGAATGAATGAATGAATGAATGAATGAATGGTTCAATGGACGAATAGATGGATGGACGAACACCAAAATGAATGGATGAAGAAATGTCAAAATAAAATGAATGAACAAAGAATTGAACTTACACAAAGTTGAAACACAAAAAAAAATAATTAAATTTCAAATGAACAAACGCAGACAACAGTAAATAAACAAACTAAAAAATTATATAATATTAATAAATATAAATAATTATTTTATAATATTAATAAATATAAATAATTATTTTATAATATTATTAAATATAAATAATTATTATATAATATTAATATATATAAATAATTATTTTATAATATTAATAAATATAAATAATTATTTTATAATATTAATAAATATAAATAGCTATTATATAATATTAATAAATATAAATAATTATTTTATAACATTAACAAAAAATAACAAAAAAAACCCAAAACAACCACAACCAACATCACTAACGTTAATAAAACATGTATATGGAGCCATGAGATTAAGGTTGCTCTCGACAAGGGCCAACAAAATATCAAGTGACCTTGTCACTTCAAGGTCAGAACAGCTCCCTATATGGGTCACCAGGTGACCTACTATTTCCTGATTAATATGTCGGTCAAGATGGAGGTGAAGGCTGTTGTATATCACCGAAATCAAAGTGAATTTTTTTTTTCTTTTTAAATTTTTCTACCGCACAGAAAACAATATATACACGAGTAAAACGAACGAAAGGAACAGCATCATCATTCACCTCTTCATCACAATCATCTTCATCACTGGCAACACCACCATCATCTTCATCACTAGCAACACCACCATCCTCTTCACCACTAGCAACACCACTAAATGTACATCAAACATCACAGACCTGCTGATAATAAACGCTGAACGATGCGAATGACAACTTGTACATGCTACAACCAACGCTGACGATGTTTTCATTGCGGGATCGTATAAACGAGTCAGCCAAGCGTACGATCGGTTTGAAGAATTGTTGCAATGTCTGAGTCATTTGATGATTGATTGATTAATAAGTTGATTGATTGACTGGTTGATTGATTGACTGGTCGATTGATTGATTGAGTAAAAGGTTGATTGAATGATCAACTGATTGTTTCAATGATTGTTTCTTTTAATGAGTTGCTATAGAATGATTGATTCAATGTAAATGATTCATCTTAATAGAAATTAACGCTTGCTAGTCTGCCAGCCAGGTAGGCAATTAACCAACCAATCTACCAACCATTTATCCAACCAACCA